GGGAGAGAGAGGGGGGAGGGAAGGGCCTGGCGGGAGAGGGGGCATTCTCGTCAATTCAAGTTAGGGCGGCCACGAATGTCCCGAATCTGTTGGAAATATCAGAATGCAGGGACCGCCAGGTGGGCACGGAGGCTCGGGCCTTGGCATCGCCCACGTCGTCTGTGCAGTGGACAGACAGGCACTGCAAGTGGCTGCCAGGCTGGGCTGCTGAGGCCTTGTTCGCGGGGAGGTCATGGGCTGCAGGGAAAGAAGGAAGAGAGGATGTTAGCAGCAAGCTCGGCTCCGCGGGAGGCCCGACTGGGGGCAGAGTGGGAGAGGCACGAGAAGAGAGGCAGTGTCGTTTCATGCCTACAGGCTTCCTGAAGAGGTCCAGAGGTGTTTAGGTAAAATCCCCCTGCCGTTGCCTTTGATTCGGCTGTGAGACCTCAGGCAAGGGAAGCCATCCTCCTGGGTCACAATTTTCCACCCTTGGGAAATAGGATTGTTGGACAGGGTTTGCCCATCTCTGATGAACTAGAGTTTCCAAAAGTTTCACTGGACCTGAACAAAGTAGGAAAGGTTTCCTGGAGAAGGAGCATCTGAACTGGGCATTGAAGGATGTGTAGGAGTTCTTTAGATGCAGTGAAACGCTGGCAGGAAAACTGTCCAGGTCCAGACCACAGCCAATTCTCTTGTCATCTTCCAGAAAAACATTTGCTAAGGGTCTACTATGTATTGGGAACTTCCTTAACAAGGAGCCAAATTGCTCAGAGCAGTAAAGACTAAAAGTCCGGATTCCCCCTTTGCCCTTTGCCCATCCCCAACTGCTGCATAAAGGGACTTTGGGCGGAAAGGGTGAGGGAGTCTATTCCTCCCCTACCCCCTTAGTGAAAAATCCCCTCCATTTCCTTCTCATTCAGTCACACAGCACCAGGAACACCACAGATCGTAGTGATGTCTGGGTTAGACACACTTGAAGGGGAAAGTAGTTTGACAGCCATTCACACCTTAGTATGAATTAGACTCAATGCGAGCAAGAACTGGGAGTTCTGAGGAGGGAAGGAATGGAGGTGTCATTTTGGAGGATTGCTAACTTACTGTGGCTGGTGACCAATGGTTCTGCTGTTAGACCCACTGTATATTGATGAATATTCTCATTAACCTCCTTTTATACAGCTTGACTCTCAGAGAGGAGGGGTGACCTGCCCAAGGTCACATAGCCAGGAAGGGGCACAGTTGGGTTTGAAGATGGGCTGATGGTGAATTTCTGATTCAGTAGATGTGAGAAAAGCTGGAATTGGGGGTGAGGGCTCAGCTTGGGCCAAGAGAGCACACCCAGATACTGAACTCCAAAACTGGCCCACCCTCCTCAGTATGCTGCGCAGGCCCAGCCAGGGCCCTGTGCCAGGCAGGAGTTACCTCACCCATCTCACCCTCTGGGATTAAGAGCAAGGCCTCCCTCAGGAGCTGAGAAAATCCTCCCAGAAGAACGGGCCCAGGCAGCCAAAGCCGGGCTGTGACTAACAGGGTCTGGGGCCCCCACCCTGGAGCCCTAGAGACACTCAGCTTTGGGATGTTGAGAGGAGCTGGGGCTGGGGAGGAAGGTTCTCTCCTTTGCTCCTTCCCTCATTCATTCAATTAATAAGCCTTTATGGAGTCCCCACCATGTGCCAGGTGTGGTGCTAGCCCCGCGGATCGAGCAGGAAACAAGGCAGACACTGTCTTCCTCCTGCTGAGGAGGCCAGGAGACAGTCATAGCACAGTCATCTTGGAGTCTCAGACTGGGGCTTGAATCCCAGTCTCACCACTATGTGGCTAGGTGTCTGCCACTTTCCCTCTCTAGGCTCAGTTCCTCATTACTGAAGTCGGGGTGATGTCATCTCCCTTGGGGCCTTGTCACGGCCTGGTATACAGAGAGATCCCCAGAGAGGGCCACTGGGACTGTTGTTAGTATCTGGGGAGGTCAGAAGGTGAGGGGTCCTTGCAGCCATCTAGAAGCCCCCAAGCCTCATTCCCCTTCTTGGGAATGGCCAGACAGACACGTTCCTGTCCATCAAATTGGCGTCTTCATCCCATTTTACAGGAGAAACCTGAGGTCTCAAAGCTGGTTAGCAGTGGTGAAGCTGGGATGCCACAAACACCACAGCCAGGCTCCCCGGGGAGAAGATGACCCAGAAGCTAGTGGCATCAGCCTCAGGGTCCCGAGCGCACAGCAAGCCCTGGATTCTAGCAATGCTGACGCAGCCTTCACACGTCTGCTTTCAAACCTACGCTTGACTTGCTCCCAGTGACACTCCACTGCTTAGCACCCCCAAAGGCATTCTGTTCCAAGCCTTGCAAGATCTGGATTGGCAAGAGGGACGGCGTCTGCCAAAGAGAGCAATTCTGAAAGGGGTTCCTCACGTCACTTTACACACATGATCTTCAGGAACCAACACAGCAACACGTGTGCCCATTATACAGACAAGAAACCTCTTGCTAATGTTTGCACCGCTAAAGAAAAACAAGACCCAGACCCAAGCTCCTGCCATCTGGTCCCCTTGCTCTGAGGCTGCAGTACCAGGGTCGTGAAGGGGCATCAGCATTTTCTGAGCTACAAGGAGACTTAGGGACTCTTTCTGCGACCTGGGTTTGCTGAGTGATGGTGCCAGACTGACCGAAACGGCCAGATTTCCTAAAGATACTCTGTTCCCAAGTTATAGATGACTCAGAAGTAAGTTCTACGCCAACACCCAAGACAGTTGCTCTTCTTACGTAAGGTGGATTTAATCAGCACACAGCTGAACACTTATCTAATTCCATCCCCTCACAAGCCCAGCAGTTGGGTGACCCTTTTCCCCACTTTCAAGGAAGCCCCTGGGGCTCAGAGAGGGTGAGGGGCTTGCCTGACGTCACAGAGCACTGGTGCAGGATTCCCCAGCCTCTGCCTGGGACGAGCAAGAGTTTGGTATCCACGGGGAATATTTTTAAGAGAGAATATTATTCTTCAGTTCTTGACAACCCAAGCATGACCAAACTCATCCTCCCACCGGATTCATTCCAGCTGGGGGGACCCAACACGCCCTAGGACCGCGGCTCCCCCAGGCTGCTGAGTGGCTGCCGATAAATCAGTCCTGCGGAAGCCGCCTCAAGTCAGGGCCTGCCCCAGCTCCCGAGAGGCCCTCAGTCTCTGCTCCTGGGGCGGCAGGCACGCTGGCCCCCCACGCCAGGACCCAGAGATAAACCTCCCCCTCACCTACCTCCCAGGATTGGGGGGAGACCCTGGAGTTACTCAGCGCTGGCACAGGCAGACACCATGGAACCTGATGGGTGTTGTCATGTTTTCCACTTGTTAGCTGTCAGCCTCCCCCATAAGACTGTGGCTGCATGGCGAGGGGCAGGCTCGGTATGTTCAGAGCAGCACCCAGCACACAGCAGGCACTCAGCTGGGGCCTACGTGCTGACAGTGAAGTGACTCTCACCCCCACTTGACAGATGGGAAGATTGAGGCTCCACGGAGCAGGGAGCTGTCCAGGGGTCACCTGGCGCCAGGTTACCACCTATGAGGCCTGCCCTCTCCTTTCGGCCCAGGATTTTTAGCGGTGGGTCAGGTCAAGGTGGATTCCTGGATCCCCCATACCTGGGCAGCTGGCCCCTAACTGCAGGGCCTCAGTTTCCCCATCTATAACTTAGGGTGGTGATTCCTGTTGTTCCCTGGGCAGAGAAGCTGGGGGAGACCATAAAAAAGCTGATGATATCGTGCATGTCGGGGGTGGGGGAGCCAGTCCCAGAGGGAGGCAGGGGTGTCATCAACTCAAAATGTATCACCCTGACTGTGCCTCACCCCGAGCAGGTGGCACAGGGGCCAAGGTGAGGGGTTTCTAGTTCACAGGATAGAGCGTGTACCCAGCAAGGAAGGACTCGGGTAGTTTTACGGACATCCTCCTGTTGGCCAGAAGGGACCACATCAGTCACCACATAATCTCCCCCCTTCTTCATGTGCACAAGTCCTCGCCGATCCTTCCAGCCCTTCCCAACACCCCCTCGCTGGATGCCACAGTTCTCTTCTCAATCATTTTTGCCACCAACTTTGCATCACGCTATGGAGGTACCGGCGGCCTCCTGCTCACCCCCGAGATCACGAGCCCTGCTTCGGATACGTTGTCTTCGGCGCCTCTCCATCCGCAACGGGGACAGTAACTTCCATGAAAGGGAGGAGAGGGCCACAGCGGGGCCAGAAAAGCGAGCGCGTGACTAAGGAAGGTGATTCCAGTTCTCTTACGGGGTCCGACAGGGATAGCGCCTGCCGCTTGTGGAGCACAGGACTCTGCTCACATCATCTGGGCTCTCAGAACTTCAGTCCAAGAAATGGGGGAAATAACAGAACTGGCTGCCACGGAGGCAGTTAGGAGGAATGATCCAAGGAAAGGGCTTAGCAGGCCGCCGAGCATGCAGCGCGCTCCTGCCAACGCTGGGAGCCTGGCGCGGCCCTGTGCTGTTGACCAGCCTGCAGGCCCGAATAGGGACCCATAGGGTCAGCTCAGTGACCCTTTTGCTGGCATGACCAGGGTGAAGGGAGAAGGGAAAAGACACGCATTTGTTTACCTGGGGACATCTCACGGTTAATTTCAATTCTGGAGTTGCAGCCCACCCAGGAGGCCAACTTTTCTTTCTTTTTTCAAGTCAGCGAGACAGGCCTTGTCACCACCTTGCTCCGCATTCTACGTTCCTGGGACTGGGTTCCAACGTGGGGGAGCCACGTGCTCAGGTGTGGTGAACTCGCTGGGGGCAGCTGCTAGTCCCCACATATGAAGTACTACCTCTGTGGGATTTGCAGCCACTGCTCTGTCCCCCAACCCTCAGAAAGGGGACTTCTGCCTGGCCTCCTCCTGTCCCCCCCGCCCACCAAAAGGAAGGGTGGAGATGGTGAGAGTCAAAAGTGGGCTCCAACTAGTACCCAGGTCAAGGAGTCCCTGGGTGCTAATCCACAGTGGGGTGTGGCCTGGGCAAGCTGGGAACCTGGCTGTAAATGGGAACTTACTTCACAGGCCATTGGAGGATTAATCGGATAATGCAGGTGAAGACTTTAGCACATGATGAACCTGCAGAAAAGGTGTGCTGCTCTCAGGATTATTACTTACTATTCTCTCACAGCCCCAGGCTTTGGAGGCAGCCAGAGTTAGGGCTGCCATGTGCCAGCTCTGTGCTATGGGACAGTTTCTTCATCTCCATGGGTCCCAGGGGCCCGCCCCACCCCTGCCCTCCGAGACTGGTGGGTG